CCATATGGAATTCAACTCCCGCCTTCCAATTGGTCTTCTCCCATTTCTTCTCTCTCTCTCTCTCTCTCTTCTTTTTTTAAGATTCGGAAGCAGTTCTCTTAGCAACCACAGAACGCACCCTTAATCACAGCCAGAGCCCTGCCCCCGGGACGTTCCACTGAGCCTCCTCGGGCCCTGCTCCTGGTGTAGGGGAAACTCGTGTCCCCCCTGCGCCGAGGGCTGCAGAGCGCAGCCCTGTCTTTGGGTTGCTGGGGCAGAACTTCCTTAGGTGGCCTTTGGGGATCCTGGCTGCTTTGTCAGGACCTCTGTTGGCATGCAAATGTAGAGACTCCGGAGGTGGCTGTGAAAAGCTGCTGTCCTCGCTGCCTGGGGGATCCACCCGGGTGCTCTGCAATCTCATTGTTTTATCATCCCTCTTGAAAAAAGAAAAAGAGCAGGAGGGGGCGGACTCTTGCTTCTTCCAGGGTCGTTACCACAACGTGAGCTCAGTGAGCTCTCGTGAGCTCGCGGCTGATTCTCTCAAAGGGAAATATAGGTCGCGGTCAGAATCCCAGATGCCGGCGTGCCTGCCGGGCGCTCCTGGGTCTGCTGGGCGCCCTCGCTGGCGCCTGGATGTTTGCTTCCCTGACTTTCTTACCACATCTGCGAGCTGGCAAACAGACTTGGCTTTTTCTTTTAAATTTTGTTTTTAAAAAAAAAAAAAAATAGAAAAGCACAGTGCATTATATTTAGCCGCAGGCGCACGGAGCACCAGCCCGGGTTTCCTTGGATAACTGGGGCTGGAGCTCACAGATACCTCCCAGCGTCTCCTGGCCGCCAGCTCGCCCGCCCGCCCGCCCGCCCGCCGTTAACCCTGTGCGGTGCCGCTCCTCAGCGCCCAGCTCAGCTCACATGACGAACGCCGCCAGAGGTAGCCGGCTCTGAGAGCAGCCCCATCAACGACAGTTGGTTCCCAGCTGACAGACAGAATATGGGGTGGGCTTTGTCACCAGCACGCTGGGTCTGGCATGCCCAGCGATGCTCGGGAGCGCACAGTGCCCAGACGCCCGCCGCCACTCCCAGGGTCCCAGCCGCTCCAGCACGGAGGGGCCGGGCTGCGCGCCTAGCCTTCCTCCCCGCCGAGAAGGTTATATAATGAGCGGACCACTGCCAAAGTCGGAGGGAAAATGAAGTCTTTGTTAAATGCCTTCACAAAGAAGGAAGGTAAGGAGCGTCGGGCCAGGGACCAGCAGCCTTCGGGTCCGGGGACGGGGACTTCCAGTTCCTCCCAGGACCACGGTGCTTAGTCGAGTCGGGCAAGGGCATCTTTGTGGTTTGTGATACCGTTCGGCTCTGGTTGGTCTGGGAGATGGACACGGTTGAAGGTGCCCTTTTATTCGACTGGTTTCTAAGCCACCAGCCTTTGCAGAACCACGTTCCGGAATGTCCACCCATGGTGACTGTGCCGGAGGGGGCTCGTTAAGAACTAAGTCCTAGGAAAATCAGGGAAGTTGTGAGTCTAGGCTGCCCGTTACCTGAGGGCTGCTGAGCACCTGCCGAGGGAGGTCAGGGCACATGGCCGCTGCCCCAGATGGGCAGGTGCTTCAAAGCCACTCCCCAGCTCCCCTTGGCCGCCCCGGCTGGCAATTTCATGGAGTGGATGGAGAAGCCTCGTGGCGGACTTTAAAAGTGCATACGGTCTTTGTCATTCCTTGTGGGGCTTTTTTATTGTGGGGGAAAATGTATAAATAAATGCATGTAAGACGGCTAAGAAAATATCCACCCACCCAGAGTTTGCAGATTGCCTGAAAGAAGAAACAGTTGGGTGGAATATTAATCATTTTCAGACAGGAAAAGAGTTATTTTTAACCCTTTTCACAAAAAAACCATCATTTCCATGGATAGTACCAGTCAGTTTTGTCAGACAGGGAGCTCTCGTCCTTAGGAAATCAGAAGGTTTCTGCAGAGGTTACTTTAAAGGAATGAGGGAGGTCCTCCCCAGCCCCGGCTCCTCCTATAACCAGCACTGGGGAAATCTCGGTGCTCGGGAAGCTAATTTAGTGGGAATCTTGGTAATCAAGCAAGGTGATTTTCATTAAAACGCTCGCCCTAATGTCACCTAGGTGATTCCGTTTGAGTAACTTGCCTGGTCTTGGGGGAAGATGTATAGGAAAATGTCCCGGCCGTTCCAATCCGCAACCCCCCCTCCTCCCCCCGGGCCGGCTCCCCCTGCAGACCCATTCCTGGGAATCTATTCGAAAGCAGCCTTTGCTTATGTTCATCAAAATTCACCTGCTGGGACTTGAACCGTGGGCTCCATGGAGAATGGGAGGATCTCAGCCCGGGGGCGATGGTGGCAGGTGACTTCTGCCTCTGTCCCGTCTCCCCTGGACTCTTCCTTCCTGAGGAGTTGATCTGGGCCCCTGCCGGCCTCCCCCGGATCCATGGCTTTTGCAGGAGGGGTGCTCAGACCTTACCCGTCCTGGGTCACAGGGGGTTACGGACGGCCTTGCCGGGCACGGCTGCGAGCTCTCCTGCTCCCGAGGCCAGGCAGGGTCCTCTACGTGGCGAGCGCCCAGGGTCCGCCCAGAAGCCCGGACCCCGCTGTGTCTGCTTGAGCTTGTGGTCTTGCAGCCAATAGGGTCGCGTGGCCCTCATCCCAGGGGTGACAGGTGGCCCTGTCTGAGGCTGCAGGACCTTCGCCCCCCGCATGGTCCTTCACCCCACCCCGGGTCTGGCATCTGAGGTCCCTAAAGCTCCAGCGCCACTCCTCCTGCAGCACCTCGACCGTGGACTCTGGTGTCTCAGCCTCTGCCTGCTCAGGGCCAGAAGGCCAGTGTGGTTTCCCTCAGTCCTGAGAAGCACCCCCTGGGTGGCCTGGCCCAGCTGTGGCCCTTCTCCTAGAGGCTGCTGCAGGACCCAGGCCCAGCCGCCCAGAGCAGCCAGCCTGTCCCTCCTGCGTCTCCAGCCGGCCTGGCTGACCGTTGTGGGCTCCTTCACTGGAAAAAGTAGGGGTGGGCCTGAGGTCCCCGGGGGCCTGCTGCCCCGACGTCTTCCTCCCACAGAGGGCTTCCCCCACGGGCAGGGGCCCGAGGCACCAGGCTGCCTGCGTGGGAGACCCTGACCCTGACTGGCCCCCACCCTCCCACTGTACTGAACCAGGACACCAAGTCCAGCCTGTGACCCCAGGGAGCTTGCTGCCATTCTGTGCAGTGTGCCGATTTGTCCCAATTCTGTTTCCCAGGCACTTCCCAGCGTCCTGGGAGGCAGGAGGGTGCACTGGGCCACACCTCTCTCACCTGTCCCAGGAGAGACCTGCCAGCCCACCTCTGTGCCCGGGGGGCTCCACCAGGGCCAGGAACCCTACCAGGGCCACCTCTGTCCCCCATGAACTCTACCAGGGCCACCTCTGTCTCCTGTGGGGTCTGAGAGGGCTCCTCTGTCTCCCTTGACCTCTTCCAGGGCCACTTGTGTCCACTGTGACTCTGCCAGGGCCACCTCTCTCCCCTGTGGGCTCTGCCAGGGCCACGTGTGTCCCCTCTGAGCTCTGCCAGAGCCTCCTTTATCCCCGTGAGCTTTTCCAGTCCCACCTCTGTCCCTCTGAGCTCTGCCAGGGCCACCTCTGTTCCCTTGAACTCTGTCAAGGCCACCTGTGTCCCCTGTGACCCCTGCGAGGGACTGTCCACTGGCCCTGCAATAGGCACAACCACCCTCGGTTCCTCTAATGGGCCTCATGGTGTTCTCTGGCCTTGAGCACCAGGGGCAGATGTCCAGCCTGTCCTTGGCCATCCATGGTACACGTCTCCTTTAGGACATGAAGGTCCCGTCCCTGGGTGGGCTCCCTGGAGGACTGTGTGGCCTCTTGCTTCACAGCTCTGGGTCGGCCCAACAGCAGTGCTGGCCTTTGGCAGTGCAGACCCCATGGGAGCACAGAGCCTGCCGTGGACATTGACCAGCTGGGGTGACACCCAGCATCCTTGGCCTCTCAGGGGCTGGTGGCATATCTGTCCCCTGTAGCCTGGAGGGCCATTGTGGAAGGGCCAGCCCTCTGAGCACCAGGGCTGCTGCAGGGTGGACACAGCCCTTGGGCTCCCCAGGACAGCCGTCCCCTCCATGTCCCTGGGCACACTGGGCTCAGGCGGGTGAGGGCCTGGCCTCTTGCAGACGTCCCAGAACCAGGCGAGGTGAGTCCCTGCTCTCGGCGCACAGGGCCCCAGCTTGATGGCTGAGGAAGGGCCCCTGTCGGGGCTGAAGGGTTGGACTGGAGCCTGGTTCGCTTGCCAGCGTCCCTGTGGCGAGGCCCTCGGGCCTGGGCCGAGTATAAAGAGCAGATGGTCTTTGTCTCGGGTCCTGGGGACTGGAGTCCGGGATCCAGGTGTCCCGGGCTGGCTCCCCCAGGCTTCTCTCCGCGGCTGGCAGACGGCGGTTCCTTCCTGTGTCCTCGCATGGCGTCCTCTGTGTGTCCGTGTCCTGGTCTCTTCTTACAAGAACACCACCCTGTGGGACGAGGGCCTGTGCTGGTGACCCATTTTAACGTCACTGCCTGGATGAGGGCCTCTCTCTAAAGCCATCCCCTTCTGAGGCCCAGGGTTCGACCCCAGCCTGTGGACTTTGGGGGCAGGGATTCTTCCCACACAGAGGCCCACCTCGAGTCCTCAGGAGGGGACACAGCAGTGCTCAGGGTCCTAGCTGCCTGTTGGACGGGGCTCTGTCCCCACGTGTGTCTGAGCCAGCTGCCTCTTCCCAGGCTGTGGAAGGGGTGGGCGCTGGCGATGGAAGCTGGGACCCCGGTCCCTTCCATCTGGGCCTCGGCTGGAGCCTCGGGGCAGGGGAGGCCCCCTCTGCCATCTCCACCCCTGCCTCCATGTCGGGGGTGAGTCCTGGCCTCTGGGAGCCCAGCTGGAGCCCGCAGAGAGCTCGGCCCGCCCTCGGGTCGCATGGGGGCTTGGATGCATGAGCCTGGCCTCCGGGGGCACCCCCTGGACGCACTCACCCACCTCTTTTCACTCTCTCCCGCCCAGTGCCCTTCCGAGAGGCCCCGGCCTACTCCAACCGCAGGCGGCGGCTCCCCAACACGCTGGCCGCCCCCCGGGTCCTGCTGCGCTCCAACAGCGACAACAACCTCCATGCCAGCGCACCCGACTGGGCCGTGTGCCCCACGGCCACCGCCCACCGCAGCCTCTCGCCCCAGCTGCTGCAGCAGATGCCCAGCAGGCAGGACGGCGTGGCGAAGAGCGTGGCCAGCTACGCCCCCGGGCCCCGCAGCCGCTCCCCGTCGCTCAACAGGCTGGGCGGTGCCGGCGAGGACGGCAAGAGGCCGCAGCCACACTGGCACGTGGGGTAAGGAGCAGCAGGGCCAGGCCTCGGGAGGGGACCTCGCGCCGAGGGGCCTCGCGCTTCCACCGCCCAGGGCTGGAGCCAGTGAGCCTGCTCCGCGGGGGCCTCTGGGCTGGGTGCGCCCTCCCGAGCCTCGCGCCCAGTGGGCAGCTCTGCAGGCCTAGGGCAGCTGGGAGGCTCTTGGGACGAGCCAGGGCAGGGGGTGCCAGCCTGGGCCTCCTTTCCCGCCCTTGCACACCCACCTCTTGGTCCCCAAAGTGAGACAGCAGGAGGGCAGGGGGCAGCAAGTGGGACCTGTCTGTCAGCCCAGCGCACCTGTCCTCGCAACGCCCCGCAGAGTGGCAGCGGAGCCCTGGCACAGGCCAGACCGAGGCTCAGAGGCCACCTCACACCCCAAGGGTGGCTCACCGTGTCCCCAGCAGCCGCAGGAATGGTCTTAGCCACAGGGTGCGACTGCCCGGTACAGCAGGGGCTCTCGGAGCCCCTGGGTCAGTCTCTGAGGCAGTCCAGGTGACAGGAGCCTCAGGACAGGACAGCATCTAGGCCAAAGGGACCCCGTACTCTCTTGCCCCGGACATCCAGGGAGCTGCACTGGTGCCCAGCGCCAAGCCCTGGGCACAGTCGGCCTCGTCACCCCCCTTCCAAGACTCCTGGGCTTTAGGTTCCACTCACTGTTGGGGCCTCAAGGTCTGGGTTTGATGTTTGGGGACTCCAAGGGACAGCAGTGTCGGTCACCGTCCCTGCCAACAGCAGCTAGTGCTTGCTGAGACCCACAGCCCGCACGGGGACCCCACTCTGCTGCTTCAGCCTGAGCCACACAGCCAGCGCGGGGCCAGACCAGGTCCCGGGGTCAGGGCCTGGTGATGTGGAGTTCACATGGGCGTGGGCCCCTGGGCCTGGGTTTTCCTGCTGACGTTGGGTCTAGCACTTGGTGCTTGGTGCCTGGGGCCACCCGTAGCCCCTCCCTGGCTCCTCCCTGGCCTCCACTGCTGCCTGGATTCCCCATTCTGACCACACCAAGTCTTTCTGGACGAGGTCCTGCCCTTGGGCCAGTCCTGAGCCACACAGCGCCCAGCCTGCAGCAGGGTGTGAATGGGGAGGGGACAGTGCCCTGTGGTCCGGTCCAGGAGGGAGCTATTGTCCTGGCTGACCTCAGGCCGGGGCTGGGGTCTAGGAGCTGGGCGCACTGTTGTGGGGATGGAACACAGGTCTCCCGGCCCCTCAGGGCCCAGCCTCTCACCTGTCCACCCAGTAGGCCCTGAGATCCTAGCCCATCCGTCTGTCCAGCAGGCCTGAGCTCCCAGCCCATCCGTCTGTCCAGCAGGCCTGAGCTCCCAGCCCATCCGTCTGTCCAGCAGGCCCTGAGCTCCCAGCCCATCCGTCTGTCCAGCAGGCCCTGAGCTCCCAGCCCATCCATCTGTCCAGCAGGCCCTGAGCTCCCAGCCCATCCGTCTGTCCAGCAGGCCTGAGCTCCCAGCCCATCCGTCTGTCCAGCAGGCCTGAGCTCCCAGCCCATCCGTCTGTCCAGCAGGCCTGAGCTCCCAGCCCATCCGTCTGTCCAGCAGGCCTGAGCTCCCAGCCCATCCGTCTGTCCAGCAGGCCTGAGCTCCCAGCCCATCCGTCTGTCCAGCAGGCCCTGAGCTCCCAGCCCGGCCGCCCCGCCCAGCAGAGCTGAAGCACGTGCCTGTTCCTGGTGCTGGTCTAGATTCTGGCTCTGAGCAGCCCCCGGGGGGAGTCCAGGTGCTAAGAACAGTTGAGAGCTAAATAGAGGGTCCCCCGAGACCCCGGTCCTCCCACCCGGCTGGAATAGGACTGCAGTTTAGAGACGGCCCCTCCCCCCGAGGCCTAGCAGGTGGGGAAGGTGTGGGGCAGGGGTATTGGACACGCCACACAGGAGCGCCGGGAGGAGGGGCGTGCGCGCGTGTCTGTGCGTGTGCACATGTGGGTTGTGTGTTCGTGTGCCCTGTGTGTATGCGTGTAGGGTGCTCCCTGTGTGTGTGTGTGCCTATTTGCTTGTGCAATGTGCCCTGTGTGTGTGTGTGTAGGGTGCTCCCTGTGCGTGTATGTGTGCATCTGTGTGTGTGTGTGTGTGCCTATTTGCTTGTGCAATGTGCCCTGTGTGTGCACATGTAGGGTGCTCCCTGTGCATGTGTGTGTGCGTACCTATTTGCTTGTGAAATGTGTCCTGGTGTGTATTTGTGATGCACTTGTGTGTACACAGGTCCACGTGTGTGTGTCCGGCTGCTTCTGTGTGTGTGTGTGTGCACATGTGTGGCCCTCAGCAGCCAGCCTGACTCTCATGATCAGCGCCTGGACTCCTGGACATGTTCTTTTGACCCACACCTCAGTTGCTGTGTGACTGCAGGCTCTTACTTACCTACTCTGTGCCTCGTCTTTGTGGACTGTGAAATGAGGATCAGACAGTGACCGACTTCAGGTTGTTCTCAGGTTAAAGGAAGGCCCCTGGGGAGCCACTAAGGGCAGTGCCTTATACGTGCACCATCCTCACTGCCCGAGAGCCCGAATCCTGTCCAGCAAGCCCAGGGCTCCGCCAGTCCTTCCCCGGTCACCACAGCTGATGGAAGGGTGACCGACTCGCCATGTTTCCCTGACGTGGGCGGGATAGCCCGTCCCCTAACCATGGGCCTGCTGCCTGCCCTGAGTCAGGAGGTCCTTGCAGCCTGGCCGTCACCCTTCCTTGAGATGGCACCCTGACCAGCCAGTCCTGCCTGGCCTGGCCCCTCCTCTGTCCTCCCCCTCAGAGTCTGCCTGTCCCTCTGCCCAGGACCAGCCCCTTGTTGGTGACAGCAGCTGTGCTCCCAGGGGAGCCCCGCCATGGGCACCGACCAGTCCACCTGTCCTCCCTGAACCCCTGTCCTGGCCAGGGCCTTTCAGTAGCACTGCCCAACAGGCGGGAGGGGGCTGGGGAGGCAGGATGGGGTGAGGCTGCAGGTGCCGCCCTGTCCCCTGTGCCCTGTGCTGGGGCCGAGTCTGTGCACAGCAAGGGCGTGCCGAGGACATCTGGCCACCCTGCTCACTCACCCATGGAGTGGCGATCTGAGGCCACCTGGGCACAGGGACAGCCAGGTGCATGAGTCTGCAGACATCCGGGCATGGACATCAGGGTGTGGGCCAGTGCACTGACCAGGCTGGGGTCAGAATGTCCCTCCAGCCAGCTGGAGCTGGGGCCTCGTGGTTGGAGCAGCCTGGCCAGGGTGGGGCTCCCCGGTCTGTGCCTGGGGAAGGGGCTGACCTCTACACAGGCAGGGGAAGGGCATAGTCTGGCCCAGGTGACGGGAGGACACCCAGCCTGGTATCCCAGCCCAGTGACCCCTCTGCTCCTCCATTGTCCTTGAAGCTTAGCACAGGGCCCCGTCCCCCATGGGCCCGCCAGCTCTCTCCTGGGGCAGACAGGGCCAGCGGGGCAGGCCTAGTGGGACATGGGAAGGGGCACGTTGGCCCTGGCCTCCTGGTGGTCTTGGGGCTCCAGGGCCCGTTCTGGTCACCAGCAGAGCCCAAGAGGTGGGGTTACGACCCCCTGTTGCTTGGAGAAGCCCTTGTCCCTCCCTCGGTGGCCCAGCAGCAGCCCCGCTTCCCCAGCTTTGGGCAGGTCACCCGCCTCTGTGCCTCAGTGTTCCCGGACACGGTGGCCTCCTGGTGCCACCTCCTGTGCGTGGGGGGAGGGGTCATGGGGTCGCACAGCAGTCACATGCTGCAGCCTGGACCTGGTCGCCGTTAAGTCCCGTGGCCGCTCTGCTGAGCCTGCGGGTGGGCAGCATGGAAAGAGTCCTGGGCCACTGGAGCTCCTGCGTCCCCGCCCAGCGTCCCGTGGGGGTGGGCGGACGCTGGCTGGGGCCTCCAGAAGCGGAGATGGCCAGGCTGGTGGGGAGACGGCATCCTGAGCAAGGAGGGGACCTGCCCAGGCCCTGCAGCCCACACCACCTGTCCCCTGTGTGCTCACAGCCCAGGGGAGGCGCCACCCGGCTCCCCTCCCCGGGACTGAGCTTGCTTGCCTGGCCGCCAGACACAGAAGCAGCGGGCAGCTGAGGGGCGCCTAGGGGACCAGAGCCAGCCTCAGGCCAAGCCTCAGGGCAGCCCTGGTGGGGGGGTGAGGGCTCCCACCTGGACTCCTGCTGGCACCAGTGGCCTGCTCCCTCCCATCCAAGGCCTGTGCTGGGCAGGACCCCCACCCCAGGGAGGGGCTGACCTCCTGCAGAGAAGGGAAGCAGCCCCTGGAGGGAAGCAGGACAGGGGCCTCACAGAGCCCTGGGGGCTGTCCTGACCATGTCCTAACAGGAGGGGGCTCCGGGGGCTTGGGGTCCAGGCCCTGTGTCACCCAGACCTGCTGGGAGCTGAGGGCTCCCACTTTGAACATCCAGGCACTCCCGGCCCCCTGCTGCCAGGCCAGCCCAGAGCCTGTGGCTGGGCATCATGGAGAAGGAGGAGGGGGAGGGACACCTGCACCCGTCCTGGTCCTCAGCTCTGCCTGCGTCTCCCGCTCACCTTCCCCTGACCGTCCGTCTCCCCCCCGCCTCAGTCCCTGTGTGTCCCTGTCCTCGCAGACACCCGTGCAGAGGGGTAGAAATCACTGCACCTGGGGCACCGTCCCTGCCCCTGCTCAGGCGCAGGCTCTGCCCTCACCCAGCCCAAGGCGGCGCCCTCTACTGGTGCCCAGGGGCACAACTGGGCCCCAGTCCTGAGAAGGGAGACACCTGGGTCCACCCACCCCGTCACCAAGGGTGGGTGGCCAGGGTCACCTGCAGCATATGGGTTCCATGTCTTTCTTCAGAGACTGGGCAGCAGGTCCCCAGGGCCGCTCTGGCCTCACCCACCCAGGGGACACTCTGGCCACCGTCTCATCAGACATCTGCTCCCGGGTGGTTCGGCTCAGCAGGAAGCAAAGGCTTGGGATGAGGCCAGCAGGCAGAGCTTGGTTTTGCTGGCCACCCGCTGGCTCTGTCTGCTGGGAACCATGGGCCTCCCCGAGCCCTGTCCACCTCTGGGCGTTCGGGACAAAATGGGAAGATGGTCCTGAGGAAGGGGACAGCAGCACCCCTGGCCTTCCTGCCCCCGGCAGAGGCCAGTTTCCCACTCAGTGCCGGGGAGGGACATTCTCCCCAGATGACACTTCCCAGTAAGGGGCAGGGCACTCAGAGGCCACGGAACCCCTGGGTGTCGCCGTGGGCTTCCGGCGGCAGGGACTCTTCCTGCTTCCTGTGTGGGTGGGAGCAGGTCTGGAGGGTTCTGGGGACCTGTGCACCCCTCCCCAGGGACAGAGCCCCATCTTGACAGGTGCGTGCGTGTGAAGGTGGCCGGGGTGCCCTGTGGCTCTGCGCTGTGCCCGCTCTACCTGCCCTCTATCTGCTTCCCTGGGGAGGTGGGGACCTGGACACGCAAGCCCACTCTCAGTGGAACAGGGACCAGATTTCCTCCATGAGGGTGGTCACTGTGCCCCCCGCTCAGCCCAGTCCTGACCCAGAAAGTGGGGCACAGACCCTGCTGGAGCAGGCGGGGGGTACGATGTCTGGCTCTCCCGCCACCCTGTGTGTCACCTGCCCCAGGGTACCGTGGCACCTCACTGGGAAGGCTAGGCATAGCCATGGGCAAGGTGCCCCAGGATCAGGCCTGGCCAGCAGGCGAGGGAGGTGGAGGGCACACCTGGGGAGCAGGCGCTTGCTGGGCACCTACGGATGACAGTCCACACCTGTGGCCCTCCGGGCTCCCCGTCTGTGGTCCCTGCTCTCTGACAGGTGGCCACCTGAGCCTGAGTTATGCCCCCTTCTGCATGCAGGAGGGTGTGCGTGCCCACCACAGATGTGAGGGAGGTGTGCCGTGCTCGGTGCTGACACCCTGGAGGACCTGGGGCCGTGGAGTCACACGGTCACAGTTCAGACCTCCCCGGGGAGTGGAGGACCCACCACCCGGAGGTGGAGAGGGGCCCCGTGAGCCAAGCAGAGAGGCTGACGTGGGAGGGGCTGCTGGTGAATCCCTGTGGTCCCAGGTGGGGCTCTGGGCACCTCCCCACCTGGAGCCAGGGGTGGCCCTGGCTGGCACCCGGACAGAGGCTCCACGGCGGCCAGCTAGTGCCTGGCCAAGGAGGCCAGGGAGGGAAGCCTGCCGCCGGACGGGGGTGGTGGGCTCTGAGCTTTCTGGACTGCAGCCGTCAGAGAAGCCGGTGGTGCTGAGCCCAGCCGGGGACCTCTGTGCTGGACCCGCCACCCTTTGTGCCAGAGCCTGTGACCGGCCATGTTCCCGAGCTCCTCCCTCCCTCCTCTGCAGGAGAGGAGCCTGGGAGGCACCGGTAGGCCCCAGGGCCAGGCCATCTGCCACCAGCCCAGCCCCTCCACACTGACCCGGTCTCCAGGCCTCCTCGGGCACCCTCCGTCCTCTGGCCTGTGCCGCTCCCTGCCTGTGAGCCCGTGAGCCCGTCCCGCCCTGCAGCTGAGCCCAGCAGCAGTGAGCTGGCCCAGGGTGAATGGAGACGTTCAGTGTGGAGGCCGCCCCACTCCCCGGGGTGGCTGGGAAGTGGCCCAGTTCCCTCATCCCAGTCACCCGACTCCACAGGGCCAGCTCTCGGAGACTCAGAGCCCAGGGACTTGGCCCTCCGACGGCTGGAATTCCAGCTGCTGCTCTTGGCCAGGACACAAGGAAGCGCGGGCAGTTAGGGCTGGGGAGCTGCAGACCCATCTCGCTGCGTGGGCTGGGCCCCGGGTGCCCTGGCCTGGCCTCCCCGTGCTCCACACTCAGGGGACAGCCACCGCTCATCCAGGCTGCTCTCGGGCTGCCACGGGGAGAGCAGGGCCGGGGAGGAGCCAGGCCTGGAGGCACAGGCGAGAGCTCTGTCCTTGTCCCATCACCACGGGGAGGAGCAGGCACCGGGGATGAAGGCCACGTTGGCAGGTGGCCCCAGCGTGGTGGGCCAGTCTCCACCCTGCCCAGCCCTGTGGGCACCTCCTGGGGGGCCAATGGCTACCCAGCAGCACCTTCAGACAGGCGTGGTGCAGCCAAGGGCTCCTCATGGGTCACTGCCACACAGCCCTTGGGGTGCTCGAGGACAGTGACCTCCACAGGGCCCCACAGTGGAGGCCCCTGTCCAGGCAAGCAGGGGTTGAATGAGGAGGTGACACTGAGGCCACACCCCACCCTGCGTCTCCACCTTGCGCCAAGGCTGCTTGGCAGTGGCAGGATTCTGAACCCTTAGGTTGGCAGCTGTCACTCAGTGGGAGAAAAGCCCAGGGGAGGCCACAGGGCACCTGCCCAGTGTCCCCAGCACCCAGGTGAGCCTCTAGGCTGCCCCCTGGGCCACAGGAGGCCAGGTGGCCTGGTTTCCTGTGCTCGGAGCTTCATGTGGGACAGGGACAAATCTGGGCCTTGGGGCTGAGCAGGCGGACCCTACGTCCAGTCCCCTCCGCTCCTCGCTATGGTATGAATCGTGGACTAGGTTTAGCAGGCCACAGCCCAATTACGCACACACAGATTGAGCTCCTCCAGACACCAGCCAGGGTCCCCGTGACTGGATCCCACAATCGTGACGCTGAGCAGCCACCAGGGACCACGACGAACCGCAACACAGCGGCACGTCTCTGACATTCCAGAGGCACAAACCAAACCCTGCCGCGAATTTCAGGGTGCACTCCGGGGTGTGCACAGGATGAGAGGCACACGGGGCTCACATTAAATGAAGAAGGTCGATCCCGTTGACAGCCTGTCCTGGTCACTGTCGAGGGAGCAAGATGAGATAAAAAGTTGCTCTGCAGGTGGCCCCGGCCCCGTGCCTCTGCCCGCCCATCTCTGGCCACCGCTGGGGACCTCTAGGTGGGGGCTGGCCTCACCCGATCACTCTGTGAAATCAGAGACACAAAGCAAGTGAAGATCCAGGTTCCTCGGGGGAGCCGGGCCGGGAGCTGGACATAGCTGCTGTTCCTAGAGGTCCTGGGCGTTCCTCGCCCCCTGACGGCCGCTCACAGTGGGACCCAGGGCTCCCCTTCACTGCTGCCGCCACCTGAGTCTTTTATCAATTGTGGGAAAATATCCAGAACCTAAGGTTTGCCCTCTTAATCACTTTTAAGTGCGAGGTCCAAGGGCGCTGGGCGGGCTCACCCTGCAGGGCACCGTCCACCTCGGCCTCCTGAGTGTGCCCACCTCCCCAGGCTGCGGCTCTGTCCACCAAATGTGACTCCCCAGCTACTGGCGCCCTGTGCAGTGCTGTCTGCGTGGCCCTGGTGACAGCAGGCAGCCCTGTCCGGGGTCCCTGCAGTGCCTCTGACCGGCCTCTCCTGCTGAGCACAGTGTCCTTGGTCCATGCATGTTGAAGTGCGGGTCAGAGTGTCCCTTTAGTTCTGAATAATGCTCCCCTGTGTGTAAGGACCACAGTGTGTCGTCAAGGGACACCTGGGAGGCTGCCACCGTGCGCTGGGTGTGCTGTGCTGCTGGGGGCCGGGGAGGGCCTGAATCCCCTTGATGCTCTGCCTTTCCTGCCCTGGGATGTGCCCACAGAGTTGCTGGGTCAGCTTGGGCCTTCACGCTCGCCGCCCAGCCCATACACATCGCCGTCGCCCACAGCCTCGTGGGGTCAAGGTGACGCTGGCAGCCTGGCGTGGCGGAGGAGCGTGGCTTTCTGACCTCGTCTCCCCTCCCTTCTTGTTCCCTCCAGGCCGCCTTTCGCTCCTGGTGCCAGCAAGGACTCCCTCCCGGCCTTCGAGTACCCGGGGCCCAAGCGGAAGCTCTACAGCGCAGTGCCTGGGAGACTCTTCGTCGTCGTGAAGCCATACCAACCCCAAGTCGATGGCGAGATCCCCCTTCACCGTGGAGACAGGGTCAAAGGTCAGTGTCTGGGGCAGGGCTGGCCGGCGCCCCTCAGCCTCCGTCGAGCCCCTGGAGGACCCGCTGGGGTGGCAGCAGAGACCGGGGGGTCAGCGTGGGGAACGGGGCTGGAGGGAAGACCCCACCTGCAGGGGTGAGCCAGCAAAGGGCAGGGCCTCCCCCACCAGAAAACCCCAGGACCCCGAGCAGGTGGGCTTGGGCAGGCCCTGGCCTGAGTATCCAGCTGGACGGTCCAGCTGTGGCCGAGGCCTGGTGTCTGCAGCCCTCAAAGGAAGAGGTCCACCTGGTCAGAGGGATTCTCAGCAGAATCCTGGGACTGCCTGGAAACCCCCCCCCCCTCGGCTGCCGAGGGTGCCAGGCGGGGAGGTGGCTGTCTCCAAGGGCACTGGGGAGCCAGCGATGCTCCTGCAGGGGCACCGTCATCTGGGAGGCTTCAGGAAGGTGAGCACAGGCGGCTCGTGTCGGTCTCAAGGCCCCAGGGAGGCTAGAGAAGGGCAGTGGGGACCGTGGGGACACGGGGCCAGTGGGAACTCACTGAGTGGAGCATGAGGGACTCCACGCGTGCCCAGCGTGCCCAGCGTGCCCAGCGTGCCCAGGCCCTGCCCTGGACAGGCTTCCAGCAGCGCGGGGGAGGGGCTGAAAGTGGGCTCCTGACAGTGCCGTCGGCCAGCTCCAGTCCTGCCCTCTGCGCGGGCCACCTGGCCCACGGTGGTCATCGCTGCCTTCCTCTGACTTCTCCGGGCTTCTGCGAGGGTCTCGAGATGGCAGGGCCCGTCCTGTCTCTGGTCCCGCCTCACAGCTGCCTGGTCACTCGACAGCGTCCAGCAGGTCTATTCCTTCCTCTTCCAAGTTCACTCTTTCCTCTGACGTCCCTCGTGTGAACTTTATGATTTCAGAAATTACATGTTCACTGCGGTTTCCATCTGCATGCTTACTTTCTTATTTGCCAAGACTTCCTGGTACTCTGGTGGGATTTTTTTGTTGATTGAAAACGTGTTGTTTTATCAATTGGTATAATTGCCACATTAACTGCCCCAACCGCACCTGATGGTCTCAACGTCGGGTTCATGTCGGGTCTGGGCTCAGCAGCTTCTCCTCCCCTTGGGAACATGGTTCCTTCTCTTACTTCAAGTGTCTAGTAATTTTCCGTTGCTTTCTGGCCATCAGCCTGTGGAGCTACGTCCTTGAGCTGGGGAGAGTCTGCTGTTCCAATCCCACGAGTGTCTTCCCTTGTTTCTGCAGTTGCCCGGGGAGAGCCCCGTGCTCCTGTAGGTCCAGGGGAGAGCCCCGTGCTCCTTTAGGTCCAGGGGAGAGCTCCGTGAAGGTCCCGGGCAGTGGGGCGTGGGCTTCCCTGAACTAGACCCTTTTAGTGATCCCAAGGGGTAGGGACCGTGTGAGGAGTCAGCTCGCAGGGTCCGCATCTGCACCCACCCTCTGTGACCTCTCATGACCAGGCTTCGCAGGTTGCAGGGGGACATCGGGCGCAGAAGGGAGCCCCACACCTGTCCACTGGCAGGGCTGTTGCTCACGAGGCTTCTGTGAGCTCCTCTGACCACAGCAGAGCCGGCAGGGCACAGGGGCTAGAGAAGCCCAGCCTCAAGGACCTCTCTGTCCCCCCTGCCCATGCCCTCACACCCTCCTCTCAGGTGACAGCAGATGCGGCCACCACCAGTGGGGACAGGCAGGTTCCCAGCACCGTCGTCCGGTCAGCACCAGGGATAACCCTGCAGAGAACCACGACTTGCCCAGCCGGTCAGCCGCGTGGGCCGCACCACTGCCCAGGAGGCCAGGGAGGCTGGAGGCTATGCACACATGTGGCGTGCCTCTCACCTCTGCCATGGACACTGCCCGACCCGGGACCCCCTTCACCACCTGGTCCACCCCTCAGCCCAGGCTCTGCGGTCAGCTGAGCCCCTGCCACAGCCCTGGGCCTTCACTCCAGAGGACCCCTCCCCCATCAAGCCAGGCTCATGGGCCTTCTGGTCAAGCAGGAGCCTGCAGGCCTTCCCAGTGACCCCTGCCCAGCCACGTCCCTTGGGCCTTAGTGGCCTCCATAAATGTGGCACGATGGTGGGGAGGTCCACGTGGGGAGGTCCACGTGGGGTCAGGTGTGTGGCACTGCTTTCTAGGCTGGTGACGTTTCTGGTTCCCAGGTTGCTGATCCGTCTGTGGGGGTCCATGCCAGTCATTCTGCGCAGCTGACCCCTGCTGGACAGCTGCACATGTGGGTGGAGCCCGGAGGGAGAGCCAGGGCCCAGTTTGGGGCTTAGGCTGAAGGGCAGCTCCTGGAAGAGCTGGGCATGGCCTGGGGCAGGGGCAGGAGCGTGTGGAGCAAGAGGAGAGGCCTCAGGACAGGAGTGTGCCGTGTAAGAGACGTCCCCGCAGAGCGCCTCTGTGTCACCCCCTCCTGGCGCCGTCCTTGTGACCCCAGGGCCCTGCACATCCTGGGTAAATTCAAAGTGCACCTGTGTGGAAATCCCGGCGTCCCCAGGGTCCATTCCAACAGGAGACAGGGCAGAGTGTGGGAGGTGGCCCCCGGGTCCTCCCCACTCCTCCATGGCTGGTTTCTGCCCCAGACGGAGTGGACAGGGCGTAGGGCACCAGTGTGGCAGGTGGAGAGCCCCGCCCTCGGCCACCCAGCTGGTCAGACAGGGAGTGTCTGGTTTCCAGCTGCCCAGGGAGGCTGGAGGGTCCTGGAGGGAGAGGCCCACCAGGGTGCTGGGCGTGGTAGCAGGGCACACTGGCCCTGAAGACAGCGAGCAGTGCCCCATCCGTTCCTCGGATGCCCTGCAGCATCGTCTGTGGGGACAGTGGCGTATGTGGTCGGTCCTCCCTCTCGCAGGCTCCCAGGGCCCTGGACGTGCTGCACACGCCCCACCCGGAGGCAGAGCTCTCGTGCCACACACCGGCCCCTCACCACTGTGCTGTCAGTGCCCCCCCCCCTGCGCTGCTCCTCCGCAGTGCGGTCAGCAGCCAGGGCTCAGGGCACAGCCGCCCTGGACCATCCCACCGCAACACGGGGAGCGAGGTGGCATCCTGGAGCTCAGTGGGCCTGGCTCCTGTGTTCCCCACAGAGAGAACGGGCCCCAGGGCCCGCCGACTCCTGGCCCAGCGTCCTTCCTTGTTCCCCACAGAGGACTCCTCTGTCCTCTGCGTCTCCTCGCAGGGACAGAAGGGTTACTTGGGTGAATTAAGTCACCGATTGGTGAGGGACCCAACTCCCCCCACAGCCCCACCTCAGGGAATGCAGAACCTGCAGGGGCCACACCGGGTGCAGGACTCAGGTGGCTGCCAGCAGCAGGTAAAGCTGGGACGGCCACCGCTGGGCGTGTGTGAGCCGGGACAGGACCCGAGGCTGCCCTCCACCCACCCCACGCCCTCTCCCAAAGAGGACCCTCAGCTGCCAGAAACTCCAAGGTCCCACGCACTGTCCACCCAGAGAGGACAGCATGGAGGGAGCCAGCAGTGGGGTCCTGGCCGTGCCTGGCACTCACACCCGGCACCCACAGCGGCGCGGTAGCTCAGGAGTCTTATCCCCACCCCCACCCCCCCCCACCCCGGCAAAGAGGAAACGGAGGCACAGAGAGGTGAAGCAGCTGCCCACGTGTGGCGGGGTGAGTGCAGCCAGCAGGGCCGGTCCATCCAGGAAGGTTCCAGCGGGACCTACGCAGCCCGTCCCTCAGCAGCAGGATGAAAGGGGCTCCTCACAGGCCTGGGCTGTGAGGCCCCTGCTCCCTCCCTGCTGCCCAGGGCTCTGCGGGGCTCTGCCGAGTCCAGCGTCAGGCAGCTGGGCTGCGTGGAATCCAAGGGGATGGCCCCGTCCTGGGAGGAAGCTGGGCTGGCGGCTCTGGCCGCGTGGGTCAGCTGTGTGTGGTCTGTTCCATGTGGGTCGCTCTTCAGATGGCAAGATCCTGCAAAGCCCGGGTTTTCTGTGCGTTGACCTTCGACAGTCAGGGGCCGCATGGATCTTTATCTGGCTCTTGGGTTAAACGGAGGCGGCAGGAAGGGCCCTCTCTGCAGGCCGGGGCTCCGCACCCCGAGTGCTGTCAGAGAAGACCCCTGTGGAGACCCCTGCCCGGCAGCACAGCTGCGTTCCGGGTGGGGCAGGGGAGGGGGCGCGGGGGTCCCTCCCCAACGTGCCACCCGAGTCCGCCCTTCACCTGGAAGAGCATCAAGTGGGGCTGTGGGGAGCCGTGGGTCCTCGTGACTCCCCCTGGTCCCCGGCACCTGTGGACCCGTGTCCCTCCCTTGTGCTCAGCTGCGAGGCTTCAAGACAGATATCCTCATCCCTTCAGCCCGAGGACCTACTGTGTCCCTGGCACCCCACCCAGGGTGGCAGTGTCGGACCCTGCACTGAGGTGTTCACCGTCCTGGAGACGGGGACGGCTGTGTCTGTCCAGCTGTGCAGTGGGCCCCAAGGACACGGCCACTGTGTGGCTCCTTGCCTTCTCTCTAAAGGTGGGGTTTTCCTGCCAAAGTCAGAAAGAGACGCGCACGCTCACCCGCGGCAGCCTCATGGATGGGCTCCCTGGTGGCAGGCCAAGGCCGGGGCCCCAGGGACGGTGCGGGCCCAGTGGGCCTTTCCACCGGGCCTGTCCTTGCGGGTTTGGGGTGGCACTCATGATCGTCACACAGCCCTGTCCCCTCCGACTGCGGATTCTGTCCTGCTCTTGGAGACGCTGACCAGGCCCTGGGGCCTCCTCCCGGCTCCCTCCCTACCTCGGTGCCCAGCCTGGCGTCCTCAGGGGAGAAGTCCCTGGCGGGTCACCCCACGTCCCCTGGCTGACTCTCTCCCTCCTTGTCCCCTAGTTCTGAGCATCGGCGAAGGTGGCTTCTGGGAAGGCAGCGCCCGCGGCCACGTTGGGTGGTTCCCGGCCGAGTGCGTGGAGGAGGTGCAGCACAAGCCCAGGGAGGGCCAGGCAGGTAAGCCCTCGGCCGCGGCCACCGTCACCGCTCCCTGCCACGTGCAGCGGGTCGGCTGTGGTGGGGTCGACGGGGGACTCCTCTGGATCCTGGACACACTTGGCTGGTTCTGTGTTGTGGGCTTCGCCCAAGCCAGGGACTCCTGCAAGGTGGCGCGAGTGCCCAGCGCAGGGTGGCTCAGGCGCATGTCCTGGGACGGGAAGTCTGTGGGCGCGTGCCTTCCCCCCACCCCGCGCGGATGTTGGAGCCGTCACACAAGGGCGGCCATGGCTCAGGAACCCCGTAGATCTGTTCTGAAGGCGCGAGGGCCGGGCGTGGCCGTGGGCGGTGTCAGGAGAAGCCCGTGGGAGGGCAGGGGAAGGGGGCCTCAGGCGCTCAGAGGTCACCGGCCTGCTGGGGTGGGCACTGGGGCCACGAGCTCTCTCAGATGTGCCTACTGCCCGGCTCCTGAGGCCCAGCAGGGAGTCCGCCCTCAGGCCTTGGGGCCTGCGCGGTCACCGCAGGGTGCTGGGTTCCCAGTCTCTGCTCAGCAAAGAATGGACACAGAGTGGCCAGCAAAAGCAGGTCCATTGCAAAAGTGACAAAGGCAGACTTCTCCAGAGGAAGGGCCGGAGCTGGGGGTCTGGTGGGCTGGCCTGTCCCTTCTGTGGTCTCTGAAGGTCCTCCTCTCCTTCTCCTCCCTGTCCCTGGTCTCCTCCCTGTTATTGACTGGTGTCCCCTCTGCCCACGCGTCTGTTTAGTTTTTCTATTGGGTCCCTGTTTAGGGGCACGAGTACAGCGTGTCTGTCTGACGGGGTCCCTGGCTGTGTCCTGGGGCCCCGGGGTTGGCTGCTTGTCGGTGTTTATTGTGGGTGGGGACAGGGCAGCACACAGGGCATTTCGTCCAGCGGGAAGTCGGCCTCATCAGGAGACCCTCTCCACACCCCCTTGTGCTGGCCCTGCCCCGACCTCCCGGCTCGCCGTCCTGCCCTGGCTGCCGAGGCCCTTCCGCGTCCCCTCGCAGGGCCCAGTGCGCGCTTCCCCCTGTGCCGGGCCCGCTCTGGCCCCCGGGGCTGCAGGCTTCGCTCTGTGCTGGGCCCCGGAGGAGGCTGCTCAGTGCACACCCAAGACCAGGCTGTGGGGGTCAGGGCGAGACCCGGCCAACCGGACCTTACAAGAGAGAAGAGGAGCCTGCTCTGCTGGGAGGGTGGCCAGGGGTTGTGGCCAGCAGGCAGCAGCCAGGGGTTTTGCTGGACGCAGTGATGGACACGCTGAGCCCCAGAGCCAGCTGCGCCTCCTGGCCAGTGGGGTCCTCCCCTGGTCCTCCCCTGCCCCACCTCTTACCCCTGCTCTGTCCCACCCCCTAGCGGGCTCACAGCCTGTCTGTCCTCGAGGACCTCGGCCACCCTGGGCCACCCTTCTGTGCTTTTCCTGGAAAGACGCTGGTGTGCCACTGGGTGCCGCTGGCTGTGCCACCCCTGGGCGGGCAGTCCTGGAGGGCTACGCAGGGGGGTCCTGGGCCTCCCACTCTCCCCATCCTCTGGAGATCACTGGCCTCTGGTGAGTGGTCAGGAAAGGGCAGGGGACTGCCGCCCCCCGGTCGCTGCTAGGCCTTCCACCACCTGGACCTGGACTATCCGGGTGGCCGTGTCCCCAGGTGGGAGCCTGGGGCTGTTCCTAGCCCCGTGGGGTGGAGCCTGGGGCTGGTATTCTCCCCGAGCCGGGCCCGGGGTCGGCTGCTTGGTCAGTGATTACTGTGGGGTGGGGACAGGGCGGCACACAGGCTGGCACACCCTGGGGGCTCCCGGAAGGGCCCTCCTGCTCTCGCGGGTCAGGACTTGTCCTTAAGGGAGTGGTGTCCTCTGCCTGGCAGAGGCCGCTCCAGGACCCCTCACACTGTCCCAGCTGGCCACTTGGGGAGGCAGATCAGACGGATCCCGACTGGCGGTGGGCGGTGGTGGAACAGAGGTGCCTTGCGTGTTCCCACCACCCATGTCCCATGTGCCCCGGCCCGGCCACCTTGCTGGGGCTTGAGAGCCAGACAGGTGGGCACACGTCCTCGCTGTACTTAGGGGCCAGGCCCCACTCCCTGCCTGGCACGGAGTCCTCCTCGCTGCCGCCTCCCCGGCCACCGCCAGCGAGCTCCCTGCGCCGAGCGGGGGGCAGTCCTCGCCGGCCCGTCTGCCCAGCGTGGCGTTCCTGGGCAGCCCGTGCTCGCCCCCGGGGCCAGCAATTAAGGGTTGGGGTTCGTGTCTCTTTGCACCTCCTGGACCCTCCTGGTCTTTCCCTGGGAGGACTGGACATCAGGGGGGCACCCAGACAGTCCAGGTCCGGGCGACCCAATCAGCAGCTGCAATTCCACTGGCAACCTCAGTGCCCTGGTGCCCTAAGGTGCCGGTGCCGGGTAGGACCTGAGCAGCCTGGGGTGGGGCGGTGCCACTGCAGCACCTGGACGGGCAGCCGTCCATGGTGGAGGGCCTCCGTCCCACAGCAGGCTGGCCCTGGGTGGGTGAGGGCAGCAGCACAGCGCCCACAGGAGCTGGAGTCTGAGCTGGACGCGAGGCGGGCAGGAGGCCTGCCGGCGGCTCGGGTGCTGCTGGCCCTGGCTGCTGAGCCTGTGGACTGTCACCGTCTTTTGGTGACTTAGTGTGACTGCATACAGTAAGAGCACACTGTGCAGAGGCTCTGTGTGCTTGACAACTGTCTGTGCCTCCAGCGGCCGGGGGGTGCGGTGTCCCCACCCAGGTGTGGCCAGCCATGTTCCACGTCCTCCTGGGCAGCTCCCTGGACCCTGCCACCACAGAGTGCTGCCTCTTGCTGGAGGTCACCAGATGGCACCCCACAGCTGTACATGTGGGCCTGACTTCTTCCACTCAGCCCAGTGCCGGGTACTCGGCCCCCTGGTCGCGGGCCCCGGTCGTCTGCTTGTTCACTGCCGAGTCCCACAGCGTGTGCGTTCGCCCTCCTGATAATGGACACTGGCATTTACCTAATGTCAAGCAAAGCTGCAGAATGATTTTGTGCACATCTTTCTATGGACAAGGGGATTCACCTCTCTAGGAGCACAGTGGCTGGGGCAGAGCATGCTCAACCTCACAGGACACTGCCACACAGTCCTCCAAGCCACTATGCCGCCTGGTGCATGCTCGGGCTGCAGGACTCCGGCTGCTTCACCTGTCATCCACCATGGGCACATCAGTCTCTAACGTCAGCCATTCTGATGGTGGGAAGTGGCATCTTACTGTGGGTGTCACATGCATTTTCTGATGACCATTGTCGCTGAGTGTTGTGTGCAGCTGGTTTGCCACAGTGTGACCTCGTCTGGGCAGTCTGGGGAGTGCCTGTCCATCTGTGACTGGGGTGTCTCCGTCTCGTCCTGGTCTGTAGTGCTCTTGTTCATCTTCTGCGTCTCAGTCCTTTGTCAGAGACAAGCTGCTGGTACCTTCCCATCCGCGGTTCGCCTTTGGTTTCCTAATGTGTCCTTTAATGAGTGGAAGTTTTGAGTTTTAAAGTCCAGTTTTTCCGACTCTTTTCTTTCCTGGTCAGTGCTTTGGGTGGCTTTTTTTGACATTGGAATTTGGCAGACCTACAAATAGCCCAAAGGTGGTACAGGGCCCCTTCCATGTTCCCACCTGGCTGCGTCCTTCCACGAGGCTGGCCTGTGCAGGCCCTGGGGAGCGCTGCCCTCAGTGCAGACCACCACGGGGCTTTGTACGTGGAAAGTGAGCCGCCAGGTGCCTGGGAACCCTGAACCGGGGTGAATGAGTGGGCACCAGGAGCCCGTGAGGACGTGGCCGGGCAGGGCCTCTGCCCGAGGCAGGACAGCTGCACTCTTCCCGCCTAGTGACAGTGGTCAGCAGCTGGGCACCATCTGCAAAGTGAGCGAGGCCCTGCGTGGCGAGTGGGTCGAATTCCGCAGGGTCCGCTGGGTTCCGTGGACAGCGGGAGGTGAGGGCTCACCCTCCCGGCTGCTCCGATTTCCTGGGAAGCAGGTGTTTGTGACACCTGGTGGGTCTCAGGGTTCCCCGCGCATCACCCCTTCTGACCATGTGGCACCGCAGCCCAGTCTCGGCAGTGGAGGACGCGGGCGGGGGACATGGCGCTGCGCTGTGACTTTTTCGTAACTGCTGACGCTGCGCTCAGCCCTGTGTGGGTCTGGGCAGCCTCCCTCACAGAGTGGCTAGCGTAGTGACCAGGGCCTGACCGCCTCTGATCTTATGTCCACCTGCCACCATGGGTACGTGGAGAGAGACCGGGTCCGTTCCCAGGTCAGCTGCCTGAGTTTGTCCCCCTGCGCGGTTGTTCGGCAGCCCTGGTGGATTCCCTTCTCTGAAACCTAAAGGCCCAAGATGACCTGTTCAGGGGCCCGGGGAAGAGCCTGCCCGTAGATTTCATCTTCTCCATGCCTGAGAGAGAGCAGTGCCCTGTGTAAAACACCCGTCTCTGCACACGGCAACCCGTGGGTTGGCAGCAAGGAGCAGCATGTGACCCTGTCGCTGTGCCATCGAGGGTGCCCCCCGGAAGGCGGAGCTCCGGAGCTGCCAGCTAGTGCTGTGCCTGGGTTCCTCCCAGGCCCCTGAGCGCCGGCTCCTCAGAGCAGGACGCACTTGCTCTCTGTGTTGGCACGTGCCTTACTCCACCAGCGGTTGTCCTGGTGCGTATCAGGCAGCACACGTCAGCTGCTGTAACAAGTAAGCCCACAGCTGCACGTTTCTTCCTGCCTGGTAACCACCAGCGTGGCGTCTCCTGGACGGCTGTGCTTTGCTCCACATGCTGCTGGGGCCCAGGCCCTTCCACCACGGGGCCTGCCCTCTCATGGGCCTTAGGATCCTCTGCCTCCGGCCGGCAGAGTATGAGGGCTCCGGGCCACTTGTGTGAGGCACAGCGGGACGCATGTCACCGTGATGTTCCTTGTGAAGGACCTGTTGTGTGGCCTGGGCCACGTGGCCCTGGCTGGGCTCTCAGGCAGGGGCTAGTGCAGCAGCCCGAGGTGAAGCTCCCTCCCGAGGGACACCACCATC